GGTTTAGGGGTGGGGATCTCGACCATTTACAAGATATTAGAACTTTCTCAAATGACAGGGGGTCGGGATGACCCCTGGGGACTAACCCTGTGTATCATTCAAACCATCTTAGCATGACAAACCAGAATAAATATGGTTTAGGGGTGGGGATCTTGACCACTTACAAGATACTAGAACTTTCTTAAATGGCATGGGGTGGGGGTGACCCCTGGGGACTAACCCTGTATTTCATTTCATGTGCTTTATCATGACAAACCAGAATATATATGGTTTAGGGGTGGGGATCTCGACCATTTACAAGATATTAGAACTTTCTCAAATGGCAGGGGGTCGGGATGACCCCTGGGGACTAACCCTGTCTATCATTCAAACCATCTTAGCATGACAAACCAGAATATATATGGTTTAGGGGTGGGGATCTTGATCACTTACAAGGTATTAGAACTTTCTTAAATGGCAGGGGCCTGGGGGTGGTGATGACCCCTGGGGACTAACCCTGTATTTCATTTAATGGGTTTTATTATTTAGAACATTTTCAAATAAAAAGATTGTGTCTATCACAAACGGTTTTCAATTTATAATCATTTGAAAATTTTTAAAAATAAAATCCCATAGGGTTCTATAGTAAAACCCTCTTTTCTTTTTGCCCCTCAAAGTACCCCTTTATAAACCCCATTGCACAAACAAAACCCTGATTGCACCACTAGACATGTTTGTCTAACATATTGTGAAACCCTAAGTTAATCTGACAAGCGGTTTTGGAGAACAGGTGCGGACAAGTTCAAATTTAAAAGCGGCGGAAGATGAAGAGGAAGAGGAAGATGAAGAAGAATAATAATAATAATAATAATAACTGAGCAAAAACAATAAGTCTTCTCAAACTTCATTTGGGAGACTTAATTATCAAAGGGAACAAACCAGTAGGTTCACCACTGAACACCACCGAACACATTCATATACATGTACCATGTATACCATCTAACATATGTAAACATACTGTTTTCATTTTTATTTATATATTTGACAAACCTTTTGAACAAGGACGAATAATTTTATACATAAATAAACATATTAATAAGAAGTGATAACCAGAGAACCAAAAAAGAAGTTTTCTGGTCATACAAGGGCTGTTGTCAGAACAGTACACTTTCAGTCTTACATATTTTTACATATAATTTTTGTGATAATCTCTCATTAAACAAGCATTCTGAGAGTATTGCATGGCAACACATAGTCCCCTACCGGGTAAAATTTCATTATACTGGAACAAAATGCTAACTTGTTCTATAACTTGTCATGGTGTAAACAAAAAGTAAATATCATGTCAATATCTTCAAGCATGACTAAAAACAGTGTGGAAAACTGATTATATGAGTGATTTTTTCAAGTCCAAGGACCATAACTCTGCAAAAAATCATTAGACCGAAACAAAAATTTGAACTTGATCTGTAACTTGTCATGATAAAACTATATACCAATTATCAATCAATATCTTATAAGCATGATGAAAAAAACATTAGATATGATTAATAGTTCTCTAAAATTAGATATCATGTAATTATATAATACAGTGTCAGTGTTCTCCCCAGGATTTTTGGATAGCACCAGGGTAACGCGTGTGAACAGCTTGGTGAAATGATTCATACAATCAGTTGTGTCGCGTGGCGTCGCTATATTTCTAGTTACTGCAGTTTTTATGTCTCTTGTTTAGTTTTAATACTGTGGTACTGTGTTATGTCAGAATATTATTGGTTAAAAAGATCAATAAACAGTTTGTATACTTTTAATATTTTTTTAAAATAAATAAAACATGATTCATTACATAATATTCATCTAAATTTAAAGTAAATAAATCTTTTATAAAATCCATGATCAATAAAAATAAAATATCATTCAAACAGGAACATATATATCATGTATATTGTTAGATATACTGTTCCCAGATTCAAAAGAGAACAAAAATGTTCAATTTAAAAAACCTTTCTAGTTTCTAGAAAGAAAGTTGTTGTATGTGAAAGGATTCCTGTCATAAGGAGATATAAAATTAATAAGAAACAAAATTGTGTAATAATCTGAACCAGTTTCTATCTTAAATTTTAATAAAAAGAAATTTTTCATAAATTTTAAAACATTTTGCCATAGATTTCATGAACATGTAAATATTAGCCTTTCTTGTCTTTGGTGATAATCAAACATATATAGATACAGACTTAATACTGCACTGAAATCCAAATCTTTATTTGTCATGATCCATTTCAAAAGAATTGCTAAATCTATAAATTTATCTTAGGTCTATAGATCTATAAGTAACATATTCAATGTCAACAACAAAGTCTCCCTATTTTCCCGCCTAAATGACAGGAAGTAGATATAAATAGATTTAACATGTGCTTATGGATTAAAATTGCAAGATCACTTCTGTTATTCATTAATGATCATATGGATATATATATCCAGTTTTAAGGTACAGTCATGCATTTTATTTATAAAATAGAATAGATTGCAGTTAATTGTAAATAATCTTGAATATTCTACGTGAACTAACTGGGTCATGTGATCCTTCTCCTTTGAATTACTTGTTGACAGTTTGAAACCGGAATAGCATGCAATAACTATGTCATAATTAAAGATAAATTTGGCCATGGTTTAATCAGAGACATATAAAACTATATAATAAGTATTGAGCTAACTTTATAATGTACAAAATATGTACCGCCGTGTGTACAACTATCGGGTCAACACGGTTTGTGTACAAAGTATTTGCCGACTTGTCAGGTGGTGAGTGAAGCCTTAAAATAGTTATCTTTGATCATAAAGTTATGATCTCTAAATTAAAACACAAAAGAATCATGTAAAAAGTGTTAATTACATCGGTTAAATCCAATCAACAAAGGTTAACCTCATAAAGGTAAATCAATCACGTGGTGTAAACAATATGTGTTGAACTGGTTTGAACTGGTCAAATTTCACCTGGAATTTTATACCGCACGGAAAAGATTTAACAAATCGTTTAAAACTTTACCGATTTACGATTTTTTAACTGAAAATTTTAGCACCACAGAGAAAAATTATACATCGCGGTAAGAACGATACCACCACGGTGAAAAATTATACATCGCGGGCCCGCGGTCCTTTAAGGGCCTGTGGAGAACACTGAGTGTATATCTATTTTCAAATTATAATCAAATATAATTAATAGTTCCAAATATTTTATCTTTCATTTGTCACAAACTAATATAGATTTGTAACTTATCTATAAAATGTCAACAACTTTTATCTACACAATGTAATGTATTGAAATATATACATTAATAGAAATAGATTATTATCTAATTAAAGGATTTCTCTTCATAATTTTTTTTTATATATATATAGCATTCAGAAAATAAGTTTATACTAAATAACAAACAAACCTGCCAAAAAATTCTTCAAATAATTTAACAAAGAATGTCTTATAAAAAATGAGTTATCTCCCTTTGTACAGAGATATGGTTTAACATAGTACTCTAACATTAGAAATGGTCCAGAGTTATGGTCCAAAACTCTGGAGTAAATCATCAGACCGGAACAAAATTCAAACTTGATCTATAACTTGTCATGATAAAACTATACACCACATATCACATCAATATCTTCAAGAACGAAGAAAAAAAGTGTGGAAAGCTGATTTGCCGGACTGACAGATGGACAGACAGACGGACGGAGAGCAAACCTAAAGTCCCTTTCAACTTCATCAGTAGGGGACTAATAAAATGTCTTTTCACTAATTTGAATAATTTGTTTCTTTTATTTGTAAAGTAAAGAAATTAAGATGATATAAAATGATATATATATCCAATTGCAAACCAGGAAAAAAATATGTTACTGAATACGGAAAGTTTATTTTTGATTCTCAACTACAATGCATAATGCACAAAAAAAGATATAAAATGATATTATTAATTCGTATATTTTAACTAATTTGATTTGTTCAGGGATAGTCACATGTTAAACTATATTTCCGAAGGTAGATAGAAAACGGCGAATAGCAAAAAGCATATTGCACGGTTATTTTTAGAATATCTAAAAACCGATATAATTTGTGACTTGAAAAAATTCCAACAAAATCAAATGATCGAATTTATAACACTGACGATTTTGATACAAATATCGTCGGAAATTAATAATATAACAATTATAGCCTTTGTATGAGGTCAATACAGGATATATCGATCCAAAGAAGTATATCGACCTGGGACTTCGTCCTCAGTCTATATACTTCTTTAAGGTCAATATATCCTTGTATCAACCTCACACAAAGGCTATAATTGTATAATATGATTAAATTTTTTACCATTTTATTGTGGAATTGTTTTCCTAAGGGGTTTGTGGTCTTTTAGGGTGTAAGGTGGTGTTTGGCGATGTTCAGTGGTGAAAAGACAAACCCAGAACAAACCAGATAATAAATGTATTTCCATTCTCAATTTTATGAAACTTTTTGAATTATAATTTTTGATATCATACATCATTAACTTTTGCCTTGTGACATCAGACATTTTCTCCGTTGACTAAACAATTCTAACTGAGTTTCGCGATTTGCACCAAACTAACATAATGTTTATTATTTGCAACCCAAAATTAAAATATAGTTGACAATTTTACTAGTTGTCCAAAAATTAATTCCAAATATTTGATGTGCCATCATGTGGTTTCTAGCGGATATTTCTGACTTATTTAATTAAAAATATGACACAATGTTTTGTACCTCAAGGAAAACAGTTAGTAATCATCAAAAATCTGATGGATAACTGGATACCATAAGAAGAAAACATGTTCTCCTCATTAGTCTAAAGAGCATCTACCTATGTCATAGGCTATGAGGCTATGATCCCCCATGTACAACGTCAACAAGTACATGTGTAAATGTATTCTATATAAATTCTTGATCAGTGACACACAGAATTACGTGAGAGTATCGACAAAGTAATCCTAATAAACCATTTTATACGTTTGTATTTCACCTGAATTATCGTCTTTGGTAATGCAAAACTAACAGAAGTGCTTCTACATGATAATAATTCTTGGTCTCCTGATCATAACAACCAACAATAGTTGACCACCAAATCCATTCAATCACTTCCGGTTATCATGCGTAATGTTAAATCTGGTCCCAGATCATGGTGAAAACCAGTTACTATCGCGCTTGTCTCCCTTAGACCTTATTTTCCGAAGCAAACATTTATTTTGCTATCTTCTGCAGACTGGGCAAAAATGCGAGTCAAAATGCACATCAAAATCCAGGCAACTTTTTAATTTTCTGAAACATAAACTACATATAACGAAAGTCGAGTTGCGAGTTACGAGTTACGAAAGTAGAGTTGCGTCTGATTTTTGAAACAGAATCAGTTTCAGGTTTACGTCGCATTTGATAAAAAAAGCATACATGTACCCCAACATAGATATACATGAGGAAGGGTCCCGGTATTTTGATTACAGGATTTGAAAGAGTTGTGTGATACTTATTTATAAGAGTCTATATGTTGCAAAGTCACGCACGCTTAAATTTCTTTCATGAGAGCGACATTGTTCATTTTCTAAAATAAAACAGGATATACTGTAGATATAAGACAAAATGTATACCGTACTGAACAATTCAAGCATTAGAAAATAAATCATGTAGACAAATGAAATATACTTGCAAATTATCGACATCTCACAGAATATGGCACTGTATTAGGCCTAAAGTAAATACTTATCAAAGGTACTAGGCTTATAATATTTTCTACGCCAGACGCGCGTTTCGTCTATACAAGACTCATCAGTTACGCTTGAATAAAGGATATATTCATTAGCATACCGGGCAAGTGCTAACTCTTCGTCTTTCGCAAAGGTTTAGGGTGATAAATGCACAATTGTACATTTAACTTAGGAAAATATCTCATGAATTAGTCAGAAATGTGATATGCTATGTGCTTTATGTGATAAATTAAATAATTTTGAACTTTGTGATTCAACCCCAAGCGGAGAGTGCATATATATATACCAAATAGTTAATAATCGAGTTGTTCAATGTATGTATATCTGAATACTACAACGCAAAAATAAGCATGCTATAGAGAGTGTCTTTCTATGGCATTATAGTAATTTAACTTCCTGGCATAGGAGATCGTAACTTATGGATTTTTTTTTAATTTGGAAAAACCAGAGACATATATACACATACACATGTATATATGTCTCTGGAAAGACGTACGCGTTATTCTACAATAAGCTATACCGCTGTTACAAAAAATAAAGGAACAATTTAAAGGAATGTTATGGCGTGTGTTTTTAGTACTTTTTTACGCCGGGTATGAGCACGGAAGCCTTGTCTGTCACAAGTTTACTTTTTACCTGCATGCAGTCTTGATATACAAATATTGTAGTTTCAGATATCAGCTGGGTATTGTACATTTTTCTGAAAAAAATGTGCTTCTTTTTCATTTTAATATCATGCATAGCCTGTCACGAGAGCACCCGAAAAAAAGTTTTACCCGGGTAAGTATGGCATCAAGTGTGGTCTGTTTTTCAGATACTATAAGAAATAACTATATTTGGTTTTTGGAATGATTGTAAGGTGCATATATATATCTGGCATGTTTCATCTGACCTTGACCATATTTTCATGTTTCATTGGTCAATATTGAATTTCTCTGATTTTTTTCTGTTTTTCAAATACTTTTCAAATAACTAACAACTCTTTAAAACTGCACTTTTTCATATTGAAAGACGTACGCGTTATTCTACAATAAGCTTTGCCGCTGTTACAAAAAATAAAGGAACAATTTAAAGGAATGTTATTGCGTGTGTTTTTAGTACTTTTTTACGCCGGGTATGAGCACGGAAGCCTCGTCTGTCACAAGTTAACTTTTTTACCTGCATGCAGTCTTGATACAAATGTTGTAGTTTCAGATATCAGCTGGGTATTGTACATTTTTCTGAAAAAAAATGTGCTTCTTTTTCATTTTAATATCATGCATAGCCTGTCACGAGAGCACCCGAAAAAAAGTTTTATCCGGGTAAGTATGGCATCAAGTGTGGTCTGTTTTTCAGATACTATAAGAAATAACTATATTTGGTTTTTGGAATGATTGTAAGGTGCATATATATATCTGGCATGTTTCATCTGACCTTGACCATATTTTCATATTTCATTGGTCAATGTTGAATTTCTCTGAATTTTTCTGTTTTTCAAATACTTTTCAAATAACTAACAACTCTTTTAAACTGCACTTTTTTCATATTGATGTAAAAATGTTTTGACGTTTTATACAGACAATTCAAACTTTATCTAATCAATTTCCCACCTACTGCACAATGAGTTTCGTGTCAAAAAAAAATTAAAGGAGTTATATTTGTCAGCATGTTATTCCTAAATTAACTTGATTGATTTGTGTATGATTAACCCGTTTTTAGAAAGAAGTAACATATTTCAAAACTGCGTCTTTTGTCTCTTTTACAAAAGTATCTTTGACAGCTACATGTATAGAATAAAGAATGGAAACGGGAAATGTGTCAAAGAGACAACAACCCAACCATAATATACAAGTCAACCCAAGGCCACCAATGTGTCTTCAACTCAGCGAGAAATCCCACACCTAGAGGCAGCCCCGAGCAGGCCCCGAAACACAATGTACATTAGATCAAGAAAATGGACGCCATTCTTTGCTCCGAAACATATAGATGAACCAAAATTAAAAAATATACAAGACCAACAAAGGCTAGAGGTTCCTGACTTAGGACAGACGCAAAAATGGGGCGGGGTTAAACAGGTTTTATGAGCGCTCAACCTTCCCCCTTCACCTCTAGCCAATGTAGACATATATAACTTTAACGTCCACAATTTTGAGTGTCACTGCCAAAGAATAAATTTTGGGGTCCCTAACAAATATTGCCTCTGCAGCTGCCCTAAAGAGCCCACTCTTAACGAAATCTGCAGTAGCGGTCTTTTACATATATGTACTATAGTTTAGTTGCTTTCTCCCTTTACGTTTAATATGACGGTGCTAGCTATGAAATTTAATAATAATTAAACTACAAGCCATCCGCTGTATTTCAAAAGGCTATCTGTTTCTTCAGAAAATAACCATACTTTGCGTAGTGATTATGTAAGCAATCCATTCATTTTTTTTTACACGAGACTCAGATGAAGTCCAAACAACAAAAAGAATCAACAATACTGTATACAATTCTATAAGCAATCATCATTCAAAAATGTTAAAGAGGTACACCAAAGATTTGAATAGTTTTCCCCATTTTCGCACAAATCTAATTTCGTAACTCGCAACTCGACTTTTGTAACTCGCAACTCGATGCTCGACAACAAGCACTACAAACCAGTAAAAGTCTGAAATGGCCTATATCTGTACTCGACTGTACTGATTTTTACTCGACCAGTCTGAATTGGTCTGAAATTTACTTGATATTACTCGACTGTAGTCTGAACCATACTAAACAGTCTAAACTTGTACTTGACCTTTACTCGACCAGTACTTAACCATTTTATACGAGTCTGAATCATACTCAACATAGTCTTAACCATTCTCGACCAAGTCTGAACCATGCTTGATCTAGTCTGAACCATACTCGATCAAGTCTTAACCAACCTAGACCTATTTTTTGTATCTATCTATTGTATTTCATCAATTTAGGAACTGTTATGTATATCACATTTAAAATTAAAATAAAACAAGGTAATCAAATTTCTGGTTGGATTAAAAAAATATCATGTAATAAATTAAGTTTTCGTTAAATTAATTTTTATATACATGATATCATGTTCAGATTGCTTTATGAACATTTAAAATACTAGAACTTTCAACCATTATTCAAATATCTTAAATGTTATTCAAATTTTTATTTATCAAAATATATATGAAATAGTAATAAATGTTAAAATTGACACCTTTGTTTTGTAAAACCAAGAAATTAATATAATAATAATAAAACTTTCATAGCAATCCTTGATAACCTTTTAAAAAAGGAAATGCATTCCAAAGTGGCAGTAGTAATTTATTTTAATTAAAGTTAAAAAGATTTTGTCAAAATTAAAGACATGGCATACAAGAAGCACTTTAATAAGGTTTAATTACCTTTAATTTAGTAGTAGTACAAGTGTGTTTTACAGGTAAAAAGAAAACCCTATTTTCCTTAAACTCGTGTATTACTTATCTAGTGAATTCAAAAGGCCTTGTTATTTAAGTTTTACAGGATGTTGTAATTTTCAATGGATGTTATTTAAAATTTATTATTCTCTGACCAGGTGTGATCTTTTTAATCAGTGTGCCCCAAGCAGGATGTATTACTTTATAGTTTACCCCTAATCATTTCTTTAATTTTTCATCCCTTTTTAAAATATATATATCCCAAATTATAAATAGGAATAGATATATTTCTGATATAAGGTTAAACAATGTCAGTGATTTTGTTGGCTGTTGTTACCTCATTATTGTATGTAAATATGAAATCTAAGTAGTTTTTATTTAGGAATTTAGGAAAATCAAGTTTTGTTTAAAAAAAAAAACAACACATGCCAAACAAAAAGAACCTTAATAAGGTTTTATTACCCTCAGTATAGGTGTGGTTTTCAGGTAAAAGAAAGTCTTTTTATTTAACAAGACAAGGACGTATAACTAACATCTAATATACGTCCTTGACAAGACTCAGACTTTAAAATTAGATAATTTAACTATCTCGATTTGATAAATCTGAGAGAATCATGTCAGGATGTAAAAATCTGTTTTCATATATATCTTTATTTTATTGTGGCTGTTGTCATGTCAGTTAAATAAGTTATTTTAACAATCAAAATTATAAAAAGTAGAGATTATTTGGTCAAGTATGGTTCAGACTGGTCGTATATTGTTCAGACCTTTGGTCGAGTACGGTTAAGACTGAAAAAATAGGTAGAGACCTGGTCAAGTATTGATCGAGTACAGGTCGAGAATGGGTTAAGACTGTTTCAGACTGGTCGAGTAATAGTTGAGACTATGTTCAATAGCAAAGATAAGGGTCAAGTACAAATCAGTACAGTCGAGTATGGTTAAGACTGGGTCGAGTAATATTAAGTAAAATTCAGACCAATTCAGACTGGTCGAG